TGACTCCGTCGATCCCCAAATGGCTGAGCCCATTACGCCCAGCTCGGAAACACATTATCGAGCAAGCTACTCGACAAAGTTGCCAACGGATGAGCCTAAACATGGAGGAAGCCAAGGCCTGAGGGCGGTCGAGGAACTCTGCACTACTGCCGGCTTAACGGCTAAGGTAGCTGGGAAACGGCTAGCCCGAGAAGGGCCCCAAAGGCTCCCGAGACCAAAAACTGAGCGTCCCATGGCTGAGAGCTCAGAAACCTAAAGATCTCAGACGACACCTCGGTCAGTACAAGACTGAGGACACCAAGGCATAGCCTGGCTGGCTACACTTCGACCAATGACACCTCGGTCGGCACAAGACGGGGGACGTCGAGGCATAGCCCGGTCGACCATGCCTCGGCCAACCATACCTCGGTCAACACGAGACTGGATTGAACCTAGCTTCGATCAACCTCGGCAAACCCTTATAGAGAATTTGGATAAAAGGCATCCCAGCCTTGCGACTCAATGACCAACTCCGGGTGACGGTGAAGGATCCTTCATCGAAAAAGATTGAACCCAGCTGCGAAGGAAGCCTCGATGTACTCGTCCATATGCACCTGCATCTCCTCCGATGCCTTGTACTCATTGATGGCTTCCTTAGCGACCTCTTGCCTCAAGCTGTCCCGCTCAGCCTTAAGCTTGACGATCTCCCTTTTCAGCTCCCTGACAAGACTAGCCTGCTTAGCCAACTGCGCCTTCAGCTCAGCCACCTCCCTCTCCAACACGGCCGACCGCTCCCCAGCAGCTTGGAGCTCGGCCAACTGTGCGTTCTGCCGTAGATACTCAGAGTGTTCCCGCTCGTATGGTGATCGAACGTCTCGGAGATGAATAACTAGCGCGACTGCCGCACAAGCATTCTGTAGACGAATATGATAAGTATATTGAAAAGGAGAACAAAACACAAGGAATAAGAAGAAGAGGATTTACCTAGGCAGCTGACTGCAGTAGCACACACTACAAGGCTCCGCTATCCACCCCGACCGGTTCCCATGCTATGGACATTGTCATGATTCCCCGCAGTAACTGCTCGGGAACCCCGAGCATCTCCAGATTATTGTCTACGTGAACTGACCACCTCGGTATGTGTTGACTCGAGCTATTTCCTGCCTCAATTATCGATGCACCAGCGGGACAACGGACCCCTTTGGGGTCAACCACAACAACGTCGTCCTCCTCGACCTCTCATTGTCGAACTCTTCTTCGCCGACAAGCCGCCCTGTCCTTGGATCGTGGCCGCTCTTCTGCCTCAGGACAAGCCTCCGGTTGCACACCGGCTCGTTCCTGCCTTTGTCGGAGTGCCTTCATCTGACGAACAATTTCTTCCTCGCTGGCCATACTCACACTTGCAACGTAGGATATCCAAGATAAGTACAAAGCAGGCAAGGTAACTTTAACTCGGCAAACAAAAGTAAAGGAAATAAACCGGTCACCCTTTCCATCAACCCGTCGGGCATCAGCATCTCCGAGCATGTGTACGCGATAACATCGATTTCGTGGATCATGCTCCGGGCCGACCTTTCCTCCCAAGTAAGCACCGACCATTGGGGTTGCGGTAGAGTCATCCTCGACCCCCGCAACTCGGCAAGAAAAGGGAGACCCCCGAGGATTCGCACAAAGAAGAATGACTCCTTCCAGTGCTTCACAGAAAAAGGGGCCCTGACCAACGACCGAATATTCCGCCGGGTGGAGAACTATAGTACCCCTGTTGGTGGTGTTTCAGTTGGAGCATAAAGTTCACCATCCCTAGGGTTTAGTCTGATACCGCAGATGACACAATAGGACATAAGGCCGAGCAAAATCCTAAAGGAGTTCAACATTAGCTGCACCGGTTACACCCTATACCAGTTTAGCACCTCGGCAAACCCCTTGCTCAACGGGAACCTCAGCCCAGCCTCCAAGCTGTGCTCATAAACACACAGCTCACCGGGCTGAGCATCAGTGGCCATCTCCCTAGGCAGCGGACACCTCATTTGGTATTCCGCGGGAATGGCGTACATAGCTCGAATTTGAGCCATATCCCAGGGCGTTAGAACGCTGGGCGTGGTACTAAACCGGTGACTTGCCTGAAGAGGAAGCTCCGTCTCCATCCTGGAAGGACCAGCCTCGGCTTGCTCAATTTCGGCAGCCACGAGGTCTCTAAGCTCAGGCTCGTAGGTCGAGCCGTGACAAGAGCTGGAACCAGAACTACTGGAGGACCTGGATGAGGAAGAGGATCGGTGAGACGAAGAGGACATACCGGACAATTTACAGAGCTAAAGAGCGAAAGCTACCGAGCTATCCGCCGAGATGTCTATCGAGCTATTTGTTGAACTGTTGACCGATAAATCTGCCGAGTAGTGAATGCCAAACACTATTGCAAGCAATATTGAGGATAGGGGGCCCCCCTCTTCCCTTTTATAACCATCAGGGGCACAAACCGAGGAGAGATCAACGGTGTAGATGAAGTACCCCTGACAATGCCTCGGAAGGCCAATTGACGCGACCAATAACGTATAACAGGAAGACTTGGAAACCGAAGCGGCACCCTCAGTAGGCAATGGTTGCGCCCATTAATTGCTCCGGTTCAACTACAGTACCGGTCCAACCTTCGACGCGGAGACCCGTAGTATTGGTCCAGTCTGACATAGATCCTCAGCTAGGTCACTCAAATCCTTAGCTAGGCCACTCAAATCCTCGGACTAGGCAGCTTACGGCCACAAGGCCGCGCAGTAGTCTGGCCAAGCACTCCCCCTCCTCGACAGTAGAACTGGGGGAGTGGTTCGGGAACCAAAATTTCGGTTCTTATTTAAGTTCTGCAGTCGACGATCGGAGGACTCCTCGGCAACGACCAACACGATGCAGACGATACGCATGCTCGGAAGTTCCTCAACCGGGCAACGAACCTAGGAAACCTCGTCCCTCAGCTTTGGAATTGGGGGAGTGGTGTTGGGGACATGGCTGAGCTGGTCATGAGGCCCCTGGCCATCTGTCACAGCTCAGCCACGTCGGCACAGTCGGCCGGGCTACGACATTGCCATGACCCCACCAATCACGTCAGCTACACCCCTCACGGATAAGCTCGCCTAATGGATAGGGAAGGGAAGACAACTCCGCTGAGGAGTAGGACTCTACTCCCTGTAACCTCGGCGGGGAACTCTGCCCCAATTTCCCTGGAAACCTACTCCGATCAGGATACAGACCCTCTAGCTATAAAATGGTACTCCATGCTCAGGGTAAGGGACTTTTTACTTCGAACACCCACACTGCTAATTAGCCCGGACCAACATCCCTATAGCTCGGCCTGGCCATCCACCACCTCCTACTGACTTGAGCGGCGGTGTACTTACCCGGGGGTAATTCCTCGGGCCTTTGACTTCTTCCTTGATCGTAGATCTTGAAGCACGGCCTCGTCCTTGAAGCTCGGCCCCGACCTACCAACGAGGACTATCTGATTGCCATCCTCGATTCGTTCACTACCTCGAATTGAGCAACATCACATAGGAAAAATGAGGTTCTTTCAGTAATATGGAATAAAGGAAGAAGGAAACCATTGTGATAGATTTCCTATAGTTGTGCATTGGTTGGTTTAAGGAAGTTGTGTTCTGTTACGATTCTGAAATTGATATAGGACCTTGATGATGTGGCTTAATAGGAGGGTTAGGTAAGGGAAAAGGAGGAAAACAAGAGACTTAATGAGAGATGAAGGAAGAGGTAAGAGAGAGCTTAAGGAGAAAGCAAGGTATGGGGAATGGAAAAAGGGGAGGGTGTGTGACATGGACAATATTGTTTTATATAGTACAGATACATAGATATACACAAATAGAGTTTTCTGCTGGAGAAGATATAATTAACTTTGTCCTAAAAGTTGATTAACCCAAATTTAATGTCTCTTTAAAGGGTACCACTATGATGCTAGAAAGACGTGATATTGTAAAAATATATGACCAATCAACCAAATATCATAAACATGTTAACCAATCTGGTGGAATTTATCAAAATTCAAGGGTGGGTTTTGATTGGTCATCATACATTTTCGGCTCTTTAAAAACAATATGACAGAAAATGGGCTCAATAAAATCCCTCAGTAGTTACTAAATAATCAAAATAAATATTTTTATTGCATTAAAGATTGTAAAATAAGTGCGAGATCACATCAACGCCACAAAGGTGTCTCACATGCACATGTCAACGTGCATTGGGAACACATCTCCTGTACCTGTACTTGTCACTGGGAGATGTTCTTGGGATGTACTGTGGGGGCGTGCCCTGTAGGTAGAGGTGTAAAGTGGGCCGTGCCAGCCCGGGGCCATGCCGAGTCGGCACAGCATGGCCCATTGGCGGCCCGTGCCACGGGCTGTGGGCGGTACAACCCACTAGATTGTGCCATGCAGTAACGACCCGTAGACCTAAAACCCAAAGCCCAAAATAACCCGCATGGTCGTACCGAGCCTGGCACAGCCCGCGGACCATCATGCCACCGGCCCGATTTACACTTCTAAAGCACCGATTGAAAAATATTAAAAACACGGAAGAAAAGAAAAAGTGGAAAACTAGCTTTTTAAAATCATCATCCACATGGTATGGCTTTTTGCCATTCCATTCTGTTTGGATATCGGAATTATCATATGTATATATAAATTGGTTTTGCAGGTTATAGCTTCTCATTTAAGAAATAACTTACCGGAGGATCTCACAAATAGGATCAAGGCATTGACGCTGACTCTTGACAAGACATTTCATGTAATTTCCCCATTGCATCCTCATTTTGAATTGCCCAAGAGAGGGGCCCTCCATGTAATTTATTAGAAGTTTGGCACGTATATATAATCAGCCAATTTTTAATTATCCATGCCAAAATATTCATAATTCTTAGAGAGAGGAACTGATTCCTGTGGTTGCATATTTTGAATTCCTTATTGACGATCCGTATTTAGGTGCAGAAGGCTGAAAAGTTAGACCATACTTGAATGAAAATGCCATAGGTCTGTGGTTCAACCATCAATCATCATTTCATTTGTATTGTCGACTAACCAGATTCAGTTACATGCCTACAAGAAACAAGATTACAACTAAAGAAATGAAAAGATGATAGCGAGAAACATAGAAATGAAAGACAGGATCCCCCCGTGCGAAGGTGGTATCTCTAATCTCTTAATTCCTCTTTCATGTTAGCAGCAGTGGCTCTCATTGTAAAGTCCTACCCTCCAATATCAGTCCTAAATGTAATAAAATTTCGTAAACATCAAATTACAGAAAATGGATGTCAAATGTGGTCTCATAATTCCTTCTTGTCATTATTTGTAATCATCTCTGGTGCTGTGTTAGCAGAAGTCATCAGATTATCGAAACTGGTAGCCTTCACCAACAATATTTCAATCTACAAGTGATTAAGAAAATAAATAAATAACCAGAAGTAGAAAACGAATCATGGTTATTTAGATTGCTTCTACTTTGTATGTAAAATAACTGGACAATGAACATCAACACATGAATGCAAACCAACCCACCTTGGCTTTTGGTACCATGCGGCCTTTGGTCTCATCTTTCATGTCAACTGTAGATGTTAAAATTTCTGTTCCATTCATAGAATCACTGGTTTAATACTATCAATTTCCTTAATTCTTGTACAGAAACTAATAGATAGCATTAAGAGAATGAGATTTCATACTCTTCTGGATGGCCATTCTATTGTTCTTCAAAATCTCAGCAATTGTGACAACCGTAGTAATAGCTGAAAACAGATTTCAAAAGTATTAATGAATGTGAATAAGAAAATATTAATAGATGGCTTCCCCACTTTAAAATTAAATAGATGAATACCCCTATATTTGATTGCGATTCTGGGTTCTTAACAGGTTCAGAGTAGGATTGCAACTCTGACAACAGACTCTCCAATTCCACTGTTATAGTAATTAACAAGTGAAACCATCAAAGATCATACTTTTCTTTGTTAATATTAATTTAAAAAAAAATTGAGGTTTAATAAAAATTTCAGTGACACTGTCTAAATATCTTCATATGCAGTTGCTCGGACTACTTACCTAGCATTTCTAGAGGCCACAAGGTTCTTTAATGGCAAATTAAGGACCATATTCATGTTTTTGCTTTAATCTTTTTATGCACTCATGTTTTTACTAAAAAACACAAGAGATAGATTGAGCCATTTTAATAATAGGCTGCCTAGAACTAATGGGTAACAAGCTGCTAGTTGAAGATTGGAAATGCCATAACCCAAGTCTCTCATCCCACCTTCCCCAGGAAAAGTGAACAATGAAAAACAAAGAAAGAAAGAATAGAAGAAGATTAATTAAGCTGCATCTATCTACTTGTTTTACGGTAAAGGTTTATAAAGTTATGTAAAAAATACAATAATGGGCTCAAAATTCTGTTAAGTCGATCTCACACGGAGTTTTGCCTTTCTTCCAAGCAAAGTGATGTTGTGAACTATAAAAAAAAGATCAGAAAAAAGGAGGGAAAAGGAAAAGGAGAAAGTAAAAGAAATATTTCAAAATCAAGAAAGAAAACATGGAAGCATCATAACAACCAGAGATTCGTCAAAAAAGAAGGTTTGGAAGATAGTTCCAAGAAAACTTACCCATGCCCAATGCAGAAAGCTCAACCTCGTCATGCTGCTGTATGTACTTCTGCAAGACAAAAAAGAACAGAAGATGATTCAGTTCGAAAAACTAGTAACTGAATAAATTCTCGCTTCTCGGAAATGTTTCATGCCACCTACCAAAAATAGCATGAATTACCCTTTTTCTGAGAAAGGAATAACAAATACAATATAATTCATCACTCTTGCATAAAGAAAAAGAAGATCAAATGGTTCACATCCAAAAACAAAAGAAAAACGAGCTCTGCAAATGCCCCTAGCTACATACTAGATATCCATGCCTGAACTGCTTTATTAGAAATTCTGAACCAGAATTATACACATGCACGAGAAACGGCGGTAGACAATCTTTTTCTATCATCACCAGGACATTTCAACCATTCAGAGGAATATATGTAGAGAATGGTTCGGATCCAAAAATGAAAATAACAAATAAAAAATTGATCAAGAAAACCCTAGAATCAAATCTCTAGCATTTATTGAAAAGATCTGCCAACAAGGTTATAAAAATAAAAGGAGAAAATCCAAAAACGATCGGAGAGAAATGGAATCAAAGCCAAGCACCTGGACCAAAGTACAGGAATCTCTTTGGTTGTAAATAAATAAAATCCAAGATGTGCAATTCAAGTAATGATCGAAAACCACTACGTATCCAGAAAAAAAAAAGCAAAATCAGAAGATCTTGTATCACATGGATCAAGAACAAAGATGTGAGAAGAAAACCCTAACTCTAGCAAAAAAGAAAAAAAAACGACCGAACATAGAAGAGAGAGGATCACCTTGGCAAGATTGACGTAGAAGAAGAGCGGTTTCTTGGTGTTGGAAACTTGAATTCTGTACTTCCTAGGGCTGGCACTGGCAAGCTCAGTCTTGCCGTTGTCTGTGGCCTGTGCTACTACTAGAGTCGCTTCCTCCATGAAAACCTCTTTTGTAGACTGGATTCTTCTGATCTATCTCTCGCTCGCTCTCTGCGAAATGCTACGAAACTTTGCAACGCTGGAAATGAAAGTGGTATGTAACTGTGAGCGGGTGATTTAAATACACTTCTGACACGTGGATGTGTTTTATTGGATACGTGGCTTTGCGAATCTTGAGATCTTTCTTGGTAGTTAGTGTGATGCGCGAGTCTTCGTTTGGGCTGACTTTTGAGATTGGGAAAATCGTACGGGTTGTTATATAGATTCGATCGGATGAGTGATGACAGATTTTGCCCTCCTTCATTTTCGATAATGGCGATATCCCCCCTGTTTCTCTTTCCGAGCAATTTTTCTTGCCGATGATCCAGCAATTCGGTAGTAGTTCAGCGAGGGCTGGAAATGGGTCGGGTAGACCCGACAGAACCTAAACGAATCAACCCAATTATGTTGGTATGGAGCCTCCCGGGGACTAGCTAGGCCTCTAACTTACGGATTTGTTGTTAAAATGCCAAGCTAGGGGGCTGTTTGATAACAGCTGAATAGATAGAATATAATGACTTTTTTGCTTAGTTTTTAGTAGATAAAAATTGTAAATTAAGAAATAATTTGGATCGGTGGAATGCAATGGTTATTTAGCTGGTTGTGGAATCAATGATAACACTTACATAGGCCCATAGTGAGAGATTTAGGCTCCGTTTGGTTTGTGGGAAAATTTGGGTGGGATGGAAAAAGATGGGATGGGATGGGATGGAAAAGTGTAAAAATTTACCTTTTCATTGTTTGGTTTTATATATGGGAAAATAATAGAAAAACACTATTACAAGGGAGAAGAGAGAAGAGGAAGATGGAGGGAGAGATAGAGAACTCCATGGCTGAAGCTCCAAAGAGGTCCTCTGGCACCGATAGTCCCCCCTCCTCCGCTGGTGCTTAATCGACCACCGCGCAATGGTCCCCCTTCTTCGCACTTTCTCTGTAATAGAGGATGATCAGAGACGAATAGTTGTAAAGCCAGAAACAATGGATGATCGGAGAAACTAGTCAAAACCAGTGAAATGGTTGTCGGAGATGGTAGGAATGATGGAGTATAGCCGTTGTGGGGTGCTCTATTTCACGAAGAGGAAGACGAACAGTAGTTCGTCGACGGAAAGCGAAGATGTAAAGGAAGGGGGAAGAACGGGGAAGTTGAGAAAATGGAAGAACGGAGAGGTACTAGAGGGTAAATGATCCTGGTCGCTGCCGCTAGTATTTCCTGTGTTTGTTGTCAAGAAGACGATGAACAATGCTTTTTTTGGGCATAAAACAAAACACAGAAGAAGAAGAAGAAGAAGAAGAAGAAGAAGAAGAAGAAGAAGAAGAAGAAGAAGAAGAAGAAGAAGAAGAAGAAAGAGAAGAAGAGGGGAGAAAGGGAGTGGCTAAGAGGGGGTGCCGCCGCCGCCGCCACTGCTCTGCTTCTGAGTTTGAACAAGGAAGGGGAAGTAACAGTGGTTTCTCAGTTTTTCCACTAGGGTTGCACTGTTTTGGTGCGACGCCGATTCCACGATTTTGAGATCTAGCATCCCACATTTTTCTCATCCCATCCCTTTATTTCGCTTAAAACAAATAAGAGAAAATGGAATATTTTTATAATATTTCTTTTTTCTCATCCCCATCCCACAAACCAAACAGAGCCTTAATTTATGTTTGGTTCCATGGACATTTATTGAAAAAATGCCGCTATATCAATGCCACATAGGCATTGTTATTTATTGTGCATGAAACCATGTTTATCAAATAAACACTATAAAACATAAACACTTGGATTTATGTGGATGAGACATTTGGGAAAACACCAAATTCTTGTTACCTCAAATGAAATGCTTATGTGGCATACCGTATGGGGTGTTAATCTAGGTGTAAAGTAACTTTATGGGCTGTTACCTAAAACACCCAGGAAATGTCCAACCAAGCAACAAAATCAATAAACGTTTAAAGTAGTATTTTTTGAATAAACATTTAAAGCAATAACACCCCATCTATAAATGCCCATGAAACCAAACACATACTTAATGGTTTGATGCCTATGTATTTTATGATTAGCGTGGGGCATTATCATTGGTTCCACGGCCAGCTAAATTGGCATTGCATTCAACTTTTTTTTTGAAAAGTAGCATTCAACCAATCTGAACTGCACTTTGGAATTTTTATGGTGCTTACATCAAAATTCCAACCAATCAGAATCAGGTTAAAGGTGTACCAACCACATGGTATATTAAAATTTTTCAATGGTTCATGTTTTTACGATGGTACTTATAGTTAAAGATTTTAACAACATAAGAAATGTCATTATAATATGCCCCTTTATTACTGGTTTATTATGATACAGTGACAACTGCATGACATCTCAAAAAGGGTGTTACCTTCTTCAAATTTGAATGTGCCACATCGCCTTAGTGATCATTGCAAATCACCAGTTTTGGTGATTCAAGAAAATGCCTCCCTTCTCCAATCCTACAGCTTATTATTGCATCAACTTTTTTTTTCAAACATCATTGTGCCAAACATGATTTTTAAGCATGTCTATGTTTTTCCTTTATGATGTGGCAAGCTTGTGAAATGGACCTATGAAACGCTCCAGTGAAACACCCTCAAAGTAATCAACCCAACTTTAGCTTTAGAGCTTACAAATTCCATGATAATGACTTATTCACTAAAAGATATAATTATGTTCTACCTGTATTAAATGTATTATTTTACATTTAATTTATGTTTTTTAGTTCTGTTTTAAATTTTTATTTGAAAAAATATATTAAAAATTGCAATTTGAGGCAAAAAATGGCTTTTTGGTGAAAATAGGGGGCAAGGCTCCTATGGTCCCTTGTGTATCTCAAAAATTTGCCCAAAATAAAAAAAAAAACTCAATCGGACGTCGAAGTGCAAAGTTATGGCCTCTCAAAGTTTGCATACACATTTATTGTTCATCTTGTGACTCGGTCACTAGGTCGAACGGGTCAATGGTCCAACTGTCCAGATTAGATGGTTTTTGACAAAGCCAACAGTTTTTAACCGGCTAACAGTTCGAGCGATTCAACCAGTTGGGTCAACAGCGGGTTGAAAACATTGGTTGGTCGTAGTCAAATCAAGTCCCAACCCATTGAAAACCCTATTTATGTGAGCCCTAGATCCACATATAGGTTCATTGTCCTATAAAACTAAGCTTTAACTAGACCTTCACTCTAAATGTATGAGGAAAGAGACCATCCTTTGTTTCCATGTCATGAAAAATTGAGGTCGACCATGGGCCATTGATGCTAGTGGTTCCAAAATATGGCCTAAGGTTTCATCCATTTGTTCCTAATCTTCATCAGTAATGTAGCAACATGTTGTTCTTTGTTGTTTGATAGAACTAGAAGAGAGAAGAGAGAAGAGAGAAATCTATTCAAAGTATTGTAGTTGGCGGCGCCTAAGTTAGTATTTAGGCGAAAGTTCATAACTAATACAGTGAGAAAAAGACAAAAAAAAAACCCTTACTAGGCCGTAGGCCTCTACACATTACAACACTCCCCCTCAAGTTGGAGCATATATGTCAATCATGCCCAACTTGTCACATAGTTCATTATGTCACAAATAGTGAAGACCCTTTGTAAGGACATCAGCTAGTTGTTCCTTGGAACTGATGTAAGGAGTACAAACTTCCTCCTTTTCAAATTTCTCCCTTATGAAGTGCTTGTCAAATTCAATATGCTTAGTCCTGTCATGAAGAACTATATTGGCTGCAATATTAATGGCTGCCTTGTTGTCACAATAGAGAGACATTAGGCCATCAACCGAGAGGCCTAACTCTTCGATCAAATTCTTCACCCATAGTACTTCTGCAACTCCATGTGCTATGGCCCTATACTTGGCCTCAGCACTAGATCTAGCCACTACACTTTGCTTTTTTGCTTCTTCAAGTGACCAAGTTTCCACCAACAAAGGTACAATATCCACTAGTTGATTTTCTATCATCAATTGCTCCAACCCAATCTGCATCTGTGTAGACTTCCACTTTCATATGATCATGTTTCTTGAAAAGTAACTCAGTTCCTGGATACTTCTTTAGATATCTTAGTACCCTCTTAGTTGCCTCTAGATGGGATTGGTGCATGCATAAACTGACTAAGGACACTAACATAAGCTATATCTGGCTGAGTCATTGATAGGTAGAGAAGTCTTCCTACCAACCTCTAAAATTTCTCGACATCTGTCACTGATTCTCCAATACAATCACCAAGCCGATGGTTTTCTTCAATAGGAGAGTTTACAGGCTTTGTTCCTAACTTTCTTGTATCCTGCAAAAGATCTAGGGCATACTTCTTTTGGGAAATGAAGATGCCCTTTTTTTTGAGCTAAAAACCTCAATACCAAGGAAATAACATAGCTATCCCAGACCTTTCACTTCAAATTGCATAGCAAGGGATTCTTTGACAATTTTAATCTCAGAGTTACAATTCCCCATAATCACAATGTCATCAACGTAGATAATTAATACCACAACATTCTTCTAGTTTCTCTTGACAAATAGAGTATGGTCAGATTGGCATTGCTTGAATCCAATTCGCTGTAGATCCAAGTGAAATCTACTGACTAGGCCCTTGGGGATTGTTTCAAACCATATAAAGATTTTTTTTTTTATTTTGCAATTTCCCTTCACACCCTTGTGCTACAAACCCAGGATGTTGAATCATGTAAACTTCTTCTTCCAGATCCCTATTTAAGAAAGCATTTTTTATGTCTACTTGGTGGAGCTCCCAATCAAAGTTAATAGCCAATGATACTATAATCCGAATAGTGTTCATTTTAGCAATTGAGGAAAAAGTCTCTACATAGTCAACCTTATACACATGAGTATACCCTTTTGCAACTAACCTGGATTTATACCTTTCAACCGATCCATCTACTCTATGCTTTACTGTGAATACCCACTTGCATCCCACTAGCTCCTTGCCTTCAAGAAGATTCACCAACTCACAGGTGTTGTTTTTGTGAAGAGCACTAATTTCTTCTTTCATTGCCTATTTCCATTCAGGTATAGATAAGGCTTCTGTAACACTTTTGGAAATAGAGACAGAATCAATGGCAATAAA